CATATAAATCTTGTCCACTTGTAGCTGGAAATTCTTTTACTGCAATAACTCTTTCAAAAACATCTCCTAACGAATCATCAACGTACCGAACCACAAAAGACACTAATTGTTCTTTTCTTAATGCATCAAATGTTGAACCTATAGATACACTGAACATATGAGATTTTTTTATGGCTAATTGAATTTGCAATGAAATTTCTTCTGAAATAGATTCAATAAGTTTGTTTTGGCGTTGCCAAGTCAAAAAAGAGTATTCTTCTTTTCCTGAACTTTCAATTTTGTGTATGTGTTCTGACAACGGGATAGAGATCCTTGAAATTACCATTTTGAGTATTAGGGATCCCTGTATCTGTATGTCCTCTAAAAACAATGTTGTGACATGCCAAGTATAAAACAATGTCCACTAATTCTGTAATAACTTGCCTGTTCATAGCAACTTGAGTTTTTCGTTGGTTTTGAAGGGCTGGTAAAATAGGTACACTTGTTTGTCTCAATTTATATTTTAATGAAGAAGTTACATGATCTACTGAAGTTTCGTGAATGTGTATTGCATGCACACAATTTTTCCATGAATTAAAACCTTCTTTTGTCCAAGATTTAGCTAAGGAACTATGTAGATTGGTTCCAAACAAAAAACAATGCAAGCAATAAATTTTATTTTTACTCGGTGAATAAGAAAGCCAATCTCTATGGTGTTTAGTTTTATCAGGATGAACTCGGTAATAGTGAATGTCATTGAAACTTCTTTTGTTAGTCTTTGGGAAAATCTTTTCAGGCATGTCATTCAAATATGGTTGACATGGACCATATTGTAAAATTAAATTCCTAATTTCATGTGTCAAAGAATTCATTTTGATGAAATTAGCTGGATCATTTTTTAATGTTTTTTCTAGCTTGAAATTTCTATCTTCTAAAAAATAAAACATATATATTACATTTTGTATTTAAAAATATTATTTATAGATTAGTATAAAAATGTGAAATTTTTTGAAGTTTTTTACTTTATAGATGTAATTAGAAATTTATTGAATTACCATGTTATTTGTTAGTTTTAAAAAAGACAGATATACCTATTATTAATTTTCTAAAATAAAAAAAGCAATTGATTTTTAAATTACTTCGATTTTTAATTAATTATAATAATAATATACATATCCTTCTACATTATCGAAAACTTTAACAGACATATTTTGATCTTCAAAGCTGTTGTTATGACATGGAAATTCATTCTCTGTTCAATACAAGGCAAACATTGTTTATAGTGTTTATACTTAGTATTCAAAATTAAAAAATTCTATATTATATACCTTCAACATTGATAGTGACTGAAATTGGATCTTGTGTTTCATTATCACAAAAATAATCTTTCATTCTTTCCTGTTTTTCTAAAATATAATCATCAAAAATAACTAAACTATTTGGTTTACAATCATCAACTGATATTAACTCTTCATTGGTTATATATACCTCTTAATATACCTCATTTCTCAATTTTGCAAATATTTCTTTCATACCTTCATAAATTGGCTGCTCTATATTTTTTGTAAAAATATAAAGATTATCAAAAGGAACCCAATAATTAACAATAATATTAAATAATAAATTAGTTTTTCCTGATCCAGAAGAATCTATAATCAAACAACGCATAGGTCTTGGAAAAATTGAATTTGATATATCATTATCTTTAACTAAATTAAATACCTTAATTTCATAATTATTATCCATTTAATATAGAAAATTTATATAAGCTTAAAAATTAAAATTCCTATTAAATATAATTTCTTATTAAATTTATATAAATATAAAAATGTCTGATTCAATTGATTCAGTAGACTTAAAAGGGCGATTAAATAAATATGGATATAAGTATAAATTTATTAAATTATCAGAACTGGTAGCTGACAAAAGATATGAAGTTACTGCTTTTGAACTTGTTAACATTAATGGGCAGGATAAAGTATCTGTTGTATTGGATAATAAATATAAGCTCATTTTACCAGATAGATTTTTTAAAACTATTTCTGAAAATATATATGAATTGAATGATAAAGATTGGTCTACACTTTACAACACGTTTCAACAAATTACAATTAATATTTTAGATTTGAAAGGTAATATTGTTAATTTTGATGAAGAATTTATTGGTGTTCTTGATCTAATAAAAAAATAAATATTAAAAACTTTTTTTTCAAGATAAAATATCTTGAAAAATTAAAGTAGGGAACGATTTTTTACTTAATTTTAATATATTTAAAAACTTTCATCAACTATTCCTCTTTCAATATCAAACGTATACACTGAACTAGAAATTAAACAAATATAACAAATTGTTTTATCAGGTAAATTTTGACTGAAATCTAAGTTTAAAATTACTGTACAGTTGGAGATTGCAATTTGATTAGGATGTCTAGTCATGTTAACAACAAAAAATGGTCTCTTTTGTCTAAATTGTAATTTATCTAAATACATTGATGGATTTTCTTCATGTGATTTATAATAGGTTTTTTTATAACTCATATGATCTTCATATGATTGACAACATTTTATATTATTAAAATCTTGATTTTGTAATTCATTATTATATTTTTTTCCATTTACTTTATAAGAATAATTTACAACATCACAATGATCAAAAAAAACAAGCATTACTTTCTTGATTGTCTAATCTGTTTTTTTGAAAATAAACAACACCAAACAATGGATGTCTATTTTTTCGATAATTATTTGTTAAGTCGAATCTTGTCTTTTTTCCAGTAAGAATTCTTACTTCAATACATTGCAATTTTTTAAAAGCTAAAATACATGGATTATTAATTAATTCATCAACTATTTGAATTTTTGTTATTTCATCATATTCTATATTTTGCATTTGAACTTTTAATTCTAAAATATTAATTTTACCACGTTTTGCTTTAATATTTTTTGTATCTGCTGTAGCTTCAGTGTTTGTTTCTAGAATCAACGCATCATCATCAGTGTTTCTCGTAAAAAATATTTCAAATCTAGCATTGTAAAGAGGACTTTTTATATCTTTCATTGATCTTAAACCAAAGTGCGATAAAGGAATGATGAGTTCGACACTTCCTCTCCCTTCAGATGTAGATTCAAATCCTGAATTTTGTGTAGGACCATTTCCATCAACAGCATAACTCATATAACCTTTTACTGTACTTACTCTTCCAGTATTCTCACTTTCATCTATAATTTTATTAATTAATTTAATTGTAATTTTTTGAAACAAAAATGCTCCACCATTATCAGATATCATAACATTAGATTTTGCTGGATATTTAGAACCATCTTCTTGTACATATTCAAATGATAAATAAAGTTTTGAATTTTTAATATTCAGAAATTTATCTTTACCATCTACTATAACTATTGTATTTCGGTTAGGTTTATTTAATTCTGTTGTAATTTGAGGTATATAACTTTAATATTGACTATTTATTATATAATTATCATACTTATTTAAAATATTTTCCAATTCTTATTTATATTACCGAATATATATATTTTTTTTTTAATAAATGGATAAAGTAATAATAAAATGTTTTATTAAAGATGAAAATAAAAAAAATTTTTATTTGAATTACCTTCACGTGTTTTAATTATAGGACCATCTGGTTGTGGTAAAACAACCTTGTTGTATAATCTGATTATAAATTATTGGATTTATTATAAAAATCTATATATTTTTACAAAAAATATTGATCAACCAGTCTATAAAAATATAAAAAAAATACTCGATGATATACCTTCTATAACCACACATTTTTCTAATGATGAAATAATATCTGTAGATGATTGTGAACCAAATAGTTTAGTGATTTTTGATGATTTTCTAAAAGAAAAACAAGACATGATAATTGAATATTTTATAAGATCAAGATCAAAGAATATTAGTGTTATTTATTTAACACAAAGTTATACTTCAGTAGATATAAAAACAATAAGAAATAATTTGAATGTTTTATTTGTTTTTAATCAATCAAATTATTATATTGAAAAAATATGGTTCGATTTGATTAGTGAAGATGTAGCTTTAGAAAAATTTAAAGAAATTAATAGAACTAATTGTAAAAAATATGATAAAAAAAGTAAAATAAAAACATATGGTTTCATAACAATAGACTTGACAAAAAATTTAATCTATGACAATAAAGGTAATGAGATTTTATATATCGATGAATGATTATGTTTTAATTTAATTTTTTGTATAATAAATGGATATTAAACAAATTCAAAAAGAATTAAAAAAAAAAATTTAAAAAAATGTTACATTTGAAGATCAAACACAAAACAATTCCAAGGTAGAAAATAGTTTAAAAAACACATCAGATGTAAAGATTCAGACAATAATTAATACTAAAAATAAATTACAAAATAGGTTTAAAAATGTATTATTAAAACCTAATGAAAAAGAGATTGTTATTATAGAAAAAAGATGATGAAGATGAAGATAATATTAAAAAAGAAAAAAAACAATACAAATCTATTGATGTAAATAAAATAATTAATCTTAAAAAAGATTTACAGGATAGATTTAGAAATACAGTTGTAAAACAAAAACATGTACTTGAAGAACAACAAAAAAAGTTTGGACCAATAATAAACGCATTAACAAATGTTAATACAACAATGAATGCAGTTAAAGATGTTGCTATTAAAACTGAAGGAGATATTCAAAAATGAAATATACCATATTATCAACCTAGAAATCCAGAATTAAAACGATTAACAAGTTCAGAAGAGACTTTTGGATCTCCAAAATATTCTAGTCAAAAATCAACAAGTAATTCTCCATTACCTAAAAATTGTTGTTAATTGTTATCACTTTTGTTATCACCTTTCTGTTGTAATCTTGTTGTGTACACTTAACCTAAATGTGTGAATACTATAACGTTGTCTTTTGTTCTGTCATTATAAAACCTCGTTATGTCTTGAACTTCAAAGCGGAGCTGTTATTCTTTTTGTCCTTTTACATTAAACAACAGGTTATGGGCCCAGACATGGCTAAAAGAACTGATGACAAGTATTGGATAACTCAATTTGCTGGAACTAATTTTCCAAACTGGAAATTTAGAGTAGAAATACTTCTCGAAGAATTTGGAGTAAGAGCCTGCCTTACAGGTAATGAGCCTAGTTCAACTCAAAAGGTAGAGCTGGAAAAGTGGCAAAAGGATGACAAGAAATGTAAGTCCCTAATTGTTCAATGTGTTGCTGACAGTCATTTAGAGTATGTAATGGGCAAAGAAACTGCGAAGGAAATCTGGAATTCGTTAGTTCAGACGTTTGAACGTAAGGGTGTTGCGAGTCAACTGTATCTAAGACGGCGGTTACTTACACTAAAACTTGAAAATGACACTAATCTTGAAGCTCATTTTATAAAATTTGATGAACTTATAAGACAGTTGAAGTCAGCTGGGGCAAAACTGGAAAAAGAAGATATAGTATGTCATCTTCTGTTGACGATGCCGGAAACATATAACAATGTTGTGACAGCAATAGAAACACTTTCAATTGAGAAATTAACAATTGAATTTGTTAAAGGAAGATTGCTGGATGAAGAAGCGAAGAAAACAAATACTACAGATATACCTCAACAGAGAAGTACAGCTTTTGGAACTACAAGTAATAGTAGTTTTCCATTTAAATGCTATGGATGTGATAAAGTTGGTCATCGGGTATCAGAATGTAAATTTAAAAAAAAGTTTGGTAGAGACAAAAATAAGAAATCTTGGAAAAAGTCAACAGCAAATAATGTAGTCAGCAAAAGTGAAGATGCGGTTTGTTTTTCAATTGGAAAAGATATGGAACCTACCGAAAAGGCAAGTGAAATTTTTTGGTTCATTGATTCCGGTTGTTCAGATCACTTGGTGAATCAAGAAAAATATTTCTCCTTTATAAAGCAAATGGAAACTCCTCTGAACATCGGAGTTGCCAAAAATGGGGAAAGTTCAATTGCGACTAAGACAGGTACAATAATTTCTTATAGTAGAGTTGATGGTGAAGAAATTCTGTGTAAGTTTGAAAACGTATACAACGTACCTAATCTAAGGTACAACTTATTATCAGTTGGTAAGATCGAACAGTTGAACTTTAAAGTTGTGTTTGAAAATGGTCTTGCAACAATCACTAAACCTAGTGGAAATGTAGTTGCTGTTGCACGCAGAATGAGAACTCTGTATGGCATAACTTTCTCTCTAAAACCAAATACTTGTGCAAATAACTGTATTGATACACAAATTGATGAGAGTTTGTGGCACAAAAGGATGGGACATCCAAACAAAAGTTATTTATGGATGTTGAGAGATATGGTTACTGGACTAAATCTTAACAAGAATGATATTCCGGACTTCTGCCAAACATGTGTAGAAAGCAAGCACTCAAGAAAACCATTTCAATCAAGGTCTTTTCAGACTCGTCGTCCGCTGGAAATTGTGCACAGTGATGTGTGTGGACCAATATCACCGACTACTTGGAACGGTAAGAAATACTTTCTTTCATTCACTGATGATTATACCCGTTTTTCAATTATTTATTTATTAGAAAAAAAAAGTCAAGTGTTTCAATGCTTTCAAAATTATGAAGCAACTGTAAGTGCATTTTTTGATTTAAAAGTTTCCATATTGAGATGTGACAATGGAGGGGAGTATGTAAGCAATGAGTTAAAACGTTTTTGTTCAGTTAAAGGAATTGTTGTTGACTATACTGTTCCTTACACACCTGAACAAAATGGTTTAGCAGAAAGATTGAATAGAACATTGGTAGAAAGAACAAGATCATTGCTGTTACAATCAAACTTGTCAAAAGAAATGTGGGGAGAAGCAGTACTCACGGCCGCTTATTTGGGAAACCGACTACCAACACATGCAAATATAAAGAAGACTCCTGTTGAGCTTTGGACTGGAAGTAAGCCTAACTTAAACAATATTAGAATCTTCGGATGCGTTGCTTTCGCACACATACCAGACCAATTGAGGCGTAAGTTAGACACAAAGTCAAAAAGATGTATATTTGTTGGTTATACAAAAAATGGTTATAGGCTATGGGATCCATTAACAAAGACTGTGTTTGTCAGTCGAGATGTCATATTTAATGAAAAAGAATTGTTAAATCCTATAATTACTAATAATGAAAAGGAAATACTTGTTGAAATAAACAATTCAGAAATTGCTGAGGAATCAAAAGAAACCACTGAACAAGAATCTCAAGATGAAGAAAGAAAAACAGAAAATGATGTGGATAAAGTCATTGGAAATAATATACCAACACAAGAACAATTGAAAAGAAACAGGAAAACTCCAACGTGGCATAAGGATTATGAAATGTCAATGATGGCACTTTCTGCTGAATACTATGTTCAAGATTTACCAGAAACTGTTGAAGAAATCAAAACTCACCCAAATCATACTCAGTGGAAAGCAGCTATTTAAGAAGAAATGAGAGCTCTTAATGAGAATAATACATGGACTTTGGTTAAAAGACTGCCTAACAAAAGGGTTATGAACAACAAGTGGGTCTTTAAAGTTAAAACTGATGAACAAGGAAATGTTATACGATTTAAAGCAAGACTTGTTGTCAAAGGCTATTATCAAAAGTTGGGTTTTGACTATATGGATACCTATGCACCTGTAGCCAACATAGTGACTGTTCGCACATTACTATCACTGGCACTACACAAAGACTTGCATATTATTCAAATGGATGTGACAACAGCGTTTCTGAATGGAATAGTTGAAGAAGAATTGTACATGAGACAACCTGAGGGTTTTGAGAAAGGGGAAAACTTAGTTTGTAAACTAAATAAATCATTGTATGGTTTAAAACAAGCTCCTTATTGTTGGAATAAATGATTTAATGAATTTATTGAAGGGCAAGGATTAGTAAGAAGTAATTCTGATCGATGCTTATATATAAAAATTAATAGTAATGTATGTTTATTTTTACTATTGTATGTGGATGATGTTCTAATAGTGAGCAACTCTATGAAGTCAATGAATGACTTAAGAAGAACACTGAAAGAAGAATTTAAATTAACCGATCAAGGCGAAGCAAAATCATTTCTAGGTATTAAAATAGAACGTACTGAAGACTCTATGAAAATTAGTCAAACTCATTATTTGGAAAAGTTGCTGAAGAAATTTTCAATGGAAGACTGCAAGCCAATATCGACACCTATGGAAACCAAACTTAATACAGAAAATGGAGAGGCAACTAATAAACCTTATCGCGAGTTAATTGGCTGTCTAATGTATGTAATGATTCAAACAAGACCGGATTTAAGCGTTGCAGTGAACTTGTTTAGTCGATATCAGTCTCAACCGACAGACAGTTTATACATTCAACTCAAAAGAGTACTACGCTATGTGAAGGGTACTACTGATTTTGGTCTTATCTATAAAAAGGGTAAAGAAGTAAGTCCACTAAGGGGATTTGTTGATGCAGATTTCGCTAATGACATCAACGATAGGAAATCTACCTCTGGATACTTATTTCAAATATATGGATCCACAGTTTGCTGGTCTACAAGAAAGCAATCAACAGTAGCAATCTCCTCAACAGAGGCTGAATATCTAGCATTGGCATCAGCTATACAAGAAGCTATGTGGCTCAAAGGTTTACTTGTTGAAATGTGCGTTATAGGAGCAGATGAACAAATTGTTTTGTATGAAGACAATCAATCCTGCATCAAAATTGCTGAAGAGCCAAGAAAACATCAAAGACTTAAACATCTAGATACCAAGTACAATTTCATTAATGAATCAATTGCCAACAATGAAATAAAATTGGAGTATGTTCCATCAGAAAATCAGCTAGCCGACATTCTTACTAAACCACTGTCGGCTTCAACATTTATGAGACTGAAGAAACTTATTGGTGTCAATGAATACTAAGATTATTTTTTTTATGGTTTATATTAAATTAGTCAATAGTCAAGTATAATATTGTTATTTGTTTTACATTATGTTTATTTATTATTATTATTTTACCTATGTTATATGTATACTTGAAATTTTTAATTAATGTTTGTAGTTACAAGATTAAGTGGAAGTGTTGTTAATTGTTATCACTTTTGTTATCGCCTTTCTGTTGTAATCTTGTTGTGTACACTTAACCTAAATGTGTGAATACTATAACGTTGTCTTTTGTTCTGTCATTATAAAACCTCGTTATGTCTTGAACTTCAAAGCGGAGCTGTTATTCTTTTTGTCCTTTTACATTAAACAACAAAAATATTATAAACTTAGGTCCTATTGCGTCAAAATATTTAAAAACTGTAAGAGATACTAATTCTTTTGGAATATATCATAATGAGAAAGATGATATTTATATGATTGGAAAAGATATAATCAATCTTGATAATGATGATATAACTTTAAATGGAAAAAGATATATAGGAACACCAGGTTTATGGAGATTATTAACTCATCAAATTCCTACATCCAAACAATTTTATAATGATGATGATTTTAATATTTATAAAAATATATTATTTGAAACTAATTCTATATATCAAAACTAATGATCCTTCAACGAAAAGAGCTAAATCAAGTCGTTTTGAAAAATATAAGGATATGATTAGTCTGTTTTGGAGAGAAATGACAGAAACAACTGATAAGAAAAAAATTAATAAAAAGAAAGAAAATAATGAAGATAATGAAATTAATGAAAAGAAAGAAAATAATGATATATTATATGAATATAATCAAATAGGGGAGGGTTTAAAGAAATACACAGAAAATCGTATTGAATATCGTTATATTAGTAATGTAAACCAAGTGATAGATAATTTATAGTTTATTTTTGCAGAGGAATGAGCTGGAAATAATAATTTTAAAAACGAAAAACTTGGTATTATTCATTTGTTTAAAACAATTATGGAAAACCGTATTGATACTCCTGAAGGTATTGTATATTTACTTAAATATGTAACTTGTTTACCAAAGGAAGTGAAAATATCAAAAGAAAAAATAATTAAACGTATACAGTATATATCAATTGAAGAAAGTATAGGAAATAATATTTACCATGATGAAAAACTTGATATTCTTTATATTTGTATTAGAGAAATGGAAAAATTAATTGATATACCTATTAACGGTGCAGATTATTTATCATCATAATATGTTTCATGTTTACCAAAGAAAATTATTACAGGTTCAGGAATTGTTAATTGTCTTTTGAATTGTTCAAATTTACATAAAATGCATTGGCCTGGTTATAATTATTTAGGACCGGGGACAAAGTTAGAAAAAAATAAAAAACCTAAAAACAAATTAGATGAAGCTGCGAGAGAACATGATTATTTTTATAAAGATAATAAAGATACTAAAACAAGACATATTTTATGATCCTCATAGTTCTATAGATGAAAAAACTGCAGCCATTTTTACAGCAAATGTAATGAATGTTAAAAGACGATTTGGAATAAATTTAATTTAATTTAATTGTTTGCATTATAAAATGAATCTAAATTTAAATAAAAAACAATTCAATAAAATATTGAAAGTTCATAATAGTAATAAAGATGTATCAATTCTAATTGAAAATAATCAAATTGATAGTGGAAAACATAAATTTAGTCTTGAGCCAGAACAAATAAGAAAATTAAAAAACGCTAAAAAAAATAATACCGGATCAAGTTTAGAACTTAAACATGTTCAAATTAAAAAAGGTGGATTTTTACCAATAGCTATTGCTGTGGTTGAAGGTGTAAGTGCTTTGGCTGCACGTGCAAGTGCACTTTATACTGCAGTAACTGATGCTAAACACAAAAAAAATTGGAACAAGAAACAATTCGACATAATAAAGAGATGGAAAAAATTAGATCACAAGGTTCTGGCTTGAAAAAAAAATTGAAAAAATGAATAAATATAAATAACAACATTTAGAAATAATATTGAAAAATTTGAAGGTATTTATACACGGTTTTGGATTAAAGAAAATAATGTAAATATTGATCCATTGAGTAATATAGATATAAATTATTTTGGAAATAAAATAAAAAGTTATAGAGGTTGTTTTATGTTAAATGAATTACCTAAAACACCATGGGAAAATGGATGTGGAGTATTTAATTTAAATGATTCTACTCAAAATGGTTCTCATTGGGTTGCATGGAAAAAAATAAACAATACATTTAAAATATATTTTGATCCATTTGGTCATATAGTTGGTGAGCCACCAAAAGAACTTTTAAAATATTTGGGTAAAGATAATCTTTTTTGTACTGTTTCCCAATTTCAATAGTATAATGATCCACCTATATGTGGTCATTTATGTTTAGAATTTATTGAAAATTATAAAAAATGTATTTAAAAATCATATTTTTTTAATAGAAATATTTCTATTAAAAAATAACAACTCGTTTAATATATATTTAACAACGAGTCAACGAGTTAACGAGTCGTTGTTTTTTTTACGTTAACGTTGTTTTTTAACAACTCGTTGTTTTAATAATTCGATGTTAAAAAAAATATTTTCTTATATATTTAAATAATAGAAATGGAAAATATGAAAAAACTTTTAAATTTGATTGAACAACAACGTAAAATCCTAAGTCCTTTATTTAATGATATTGATATTGATTCTGAAATTAGTAATATGTTATGGAATCATATAATGGGTAATTGCTGTTTCGAAAATCTTTTAAAATATAAATATCACAAAAAACATAATCAATTAAAATCATTTAACTTCCATTTAATTAGTAATTGTTGTTTCGAAAATATTTTAAGTTTTTTTAAAAACAAAAATTATAATGAAATAAAACTTTCACTAAACGAACTACGTAAATTAATACAAGAGGAATTACATGATTCGAATAATAATATGGAGCTAGACTGATTATTTTTTAAACATAGAAAATTTAAATCGAATATAATACTTACGAAGTATTATATATTTATATATTATAGTACTGTAATATACAATATTTAGACTTAAAATAAAAACACGAGACAACTAATGACAACGGACCATATTATGGGGTGTGGGTGGTCCGATATGCATATATACGTACGCATTAGGTATATATATATCTACAATATACGCACTCCTTTTACATACACGCAGCACCTGCAACACATAAATAATATTCTACACCTCTCCGACCAGATATTTAGTGGAGACAACACAATCAAATATCAACGGCGCCAGTAAACACCGTATATTATAAAATCATGAAAGCATTCTTTCGTATACATATACGTACATCACACGTGTACGTACACATATATATATATATATTATATACTTCAAGTCCCCTTCGATAATTCTCCAATCAAGACGTTCGGTCAAAACAAAACTATAAATTACCAGCTGTACCGTTGTCGCACCACACGAAATAATAAAAATATATCAATACTTTAATCGATGCACAAGAAGAAGGGATCAACCAAAATCACATTATATAAGGGCCACAGAGCATCGA